GGTCCCAATGTCCTGAACCACTTTTACTGTGATGCTTCACAGTTGTTGCAGCTGTCCTGCACAGACACGTGGTTCATCGAAGGACTGCTGTTTATCCTATCAATTATCATTGTGCCAGGTACCTTAACAATAACTGTCATTTCATATGGTTGCATTATTATCACCATCCTACATATGCCATCTTCCTCAGGAAGGAAGAAAACATTTTCCACTTGCTCAGCTCACCTTGTGGTGGTGACTGTATTTTACAGCACGTCTATTTACAGGTATAACCGCACAGCGCAACGGGGTGGGCAGAACTCTGACAAAGTTCTTTCTTTCTTCTTCTCCGTGGTGACTCAGATGCTTAACCCATACATCTATTCACTCAGGAACAATCAAGTCAAACGAGCGTTGAAGGAGAGCATGTCAAAGGCATTTTCTAGCTCCCGGAGGCACCCATGAGAGCTGGAGTAGACCTTCCAAGTGACTGAATTGTTGCCCAGATGCATCAGCATTGTGCAAATGAATTAAAGACTCTGAATTCAAATGGTTTATGCTTTATGCATGTTACATAGTACCTTTTTCTTTTAGAAACCCAGACATTCCAATACAGGCAGGGTCTTCTAGTCCACCAGTACCTGCACTTGGGTTTGCCTGTGCGTTCTTTCCACTCGGTTCTGGTGGGCTAACAACCTTGGCTAACAACCAAATCCGCTCCCAGCTGCCCAGTGTAGGGCAGAAGAATTTCTTCCTTATATCTAATCTAAACCTACCCTCTTTTGCTTTAAAGCCACACCGCCGTGTATTTTTGTCTGCACTCGCTGATAAAGAGATCATAACAATTTGTAACAACCACTGTGATGTAACGTATAGACAAGTTAACACCGTGTGTTGTTTGTATGTTTGAGGGTTGTTGTTGTTGTGTTGTTTTTTTTTTATTGTTTTTTTTGTTTGTTTGTTTGTTTTTTCTTGTTGATTGTTTTTATTCTGTTTGTTTGTTTTTTGGTGGTGGAGGTGGTGATGGCACTTTTTTGTTTGTTTATTTGTTTTTTGAGATATTCTTCCTGTTTGGTTCTTTAAATACAGCTAGGTGAGAAGGTAGATTTATGTTTGCCCTAACAAGAGCTGAATCCTTTTGGACTGGTAACATCAGTAATTTCTCCTGTAAAGCTTGTTTACTGTCTTTACATTTCTTAGCCAGTGGATTTGGTTATCTTTACTGACTTTGACATCTCTTCTTTTTCTTTGTTTATTACTTCTATGGATAAGGATAAAGGGATGGCCAACAGGGCAGACATCCTGCTGGGGGTCTGTTATAGACAGCCAAACAAGGATGAAGAGACAGATGAGGTGTTCTATAAGCAGCTGGCAGATGTCGCGCAATCACCAGCAGTTGTTCTCATGAGGGACTTTAACTCCGCGGACGTATGCTGGAAATACAATACAGCCCTGAGGAAGCAGTCTAGAAGGTTCCTGGAGTGCGTGGAAGATAGCTTCCTGACTCAGGTGGCTAGTGAGCCTCACAGAGGTGATGCCCAGCTTGACCTACTGTTTACAAACAGAGAAGGACTTCTGTAGTCAGACCACTTATCCTCGGGGATTAAGCCTCCTGACCTAGAAGTCCGGGACGAGGAGTAGACGAACTCCTCCCCCCTCCCCCCCCATGGTTCAGTTGGAAACAATTACAGAATCACAGAGAATCACAGAATCACAGAATTGTAGGAGTTGGAAGGGACCTCAAGAGATCATTGGGTCCAACCCCCCTGCCAAAGCAGGTTCCCTAGAGCAGGTTACCCAGGTAGGTGTCCAGATGGGCCTTGAATATCTCCAAGAAGGAGACTCCACAACCTCCCTGGGCAGCCTGTTCCAGTGCTCCGTCACCCTCACCGTGAAGAAGTTCTTTCGTGTATTTTTGCAGACCTTCCTGTGACCATTTTGTGGCCATTGCCCCTTGTCCTGTCCTCAAAACCACTGAACAGAGGTTGCCCAAATCCCTCTGCCTCCCACGCTTAAGATATTCGTAAACATTATTAAGACCCCTCTCAGTCTTCTTTTTCCCAGGCTAAACAGACCTTTGTCTCTCAGCCTTTCCTCATAGGGAAGATGCTCCAGGCCCCATATCACCTTTGTGAACCTCCGCTGGACTCTTCACAGGAGATCCCTGCCTTTTTAAGCAGTTAGAGACCTGCTGCTCTACCTGGACTGTCACAAGTCCATGGCGCCAGATGGGATCCATCTGAGGGTGCTTGAGGGAGTTGGTGGATGTGATTGCTGGGACACTTCCCATCATCTATCAGCAGACATGGTCATCTGGAGAGGTCCCAGATGACTGGAGACTTGCTAATGCGATGCCCATGTAAAATAAGGTTCTTAAAGAGGACCTTAAAATTACAGGCCCGTCACCCTGACCTCAGTGCCAGGAAGGGTGGTGGAACAGGTCATCTTGAATGCAATCCCACAGCACATGTGCGACAACCAGGGGATCAGGCCGAATCAGCATGTATTCATGAAAGGCAAGTCCTGACTCACCAACCTCATCTCCTTCCATGGCTTGAACAGGTACACTCTTTGCTGGGTTAAAAACTGATCAGGCCCAGAGTGTGGTGGTGAACGGAGTGAAATCCACCTGGTGACCAATCATCAGTGGTGTTCCCCAGGGGTCATCATTGGAGCCCCTCCTCTTCAACATCTTAATTCGTTTGGACAAGGGCATTGAGTGCACCCTCAGTAATTTTGCAGATGACACCAAGTTGGGGGAGAAATGTCATTCTTCCAGAGGGTAGGAAGGCCCTGCAGAGGGACCTGGGCAGGGTGGATTGTTGGACAGAGGCCAGTGGGTGAGTTTCAACAAGTCTAAGTGCTAGGTCCTGCACTTTGGTCACAACAACCCCATGCAATGCTACAGACCCGGAGCAGAATGGCTGGAAAGCTGTGCAGAGGAAAAGGATCTGGGTGTGTTGGTCAATGCTCGCCTGAATGTAAGCCAGCAGTGTGTCCAGATGGTCAAGGAGACCAATGGCTTCCTGGCTTGTATCAGGAATAGTGCAGCCAGCAGTACCAAGGAGGTGATCGTCCCATTGTCCTCAGCTGTGGTTAGGCTGCACTTCAAGTACTGTGTTCAGGTTTGGACCCCTCACTACAAGAAGGACATCGAGGCCCTGGAGCATGTCCAGAGAAGGGCTGTGAAGCTGGTGAAGGGTCTGGAACACAAGTCCTGTGAGGAACAGCTGAGGGAACTGGGGTTGTTTAGTTTGGAGAAGAGGATCCCAGAGGAGACTATATTGCTCTCTACAGTTACGTGAAGGGATGTGTTGTAGAGCTGAGGGTCAGCCTCTTCTCTCAGTTAGCTAATGATAGTACAGGGAATGGCCTCAAGTTGCTCTAGGGGAGGTTTAGGTTGGAAATGAGGAGACATTTCCTGTCAGAAAGAGTAGTCAGGTACTGTAACGGGTTGCCCAGGGAGATGGTGGAGTCACCATCCCTGTGGGTGTTTAAGGAAAGGTTGGACATGGTGCTTAGGGACATGGCTTAGTGGGTGATATGGGTGGTAGGGGGATGTTTGGACCAGATGATCTTGGAGGTCTTTACCAACACTAATGATTCTATGATTCTTGTTACAGATGACAAATATCAGCACTTGCCACTAGTTACAACTACAATTTTATTTGTACTTGGGCCACCAGACTATTGGACTTTAAGTATTCGAATCACCAGAAATACAACCTCAACAAACTTTATTATTACCTTCCCGTCATAACAAGGGGTGATGACCACGGAAGCTAGGCTACAAGGAGATACATTCTTTAACAACTACAGAGCATTCTAGAAATAATAAAAATATTAAGCCAAATTGATACCTAAACCAAAACATATGCGCATGGCTTGAGCCGGTGCTTGTGAAGTCACTTGTGGCTGAGGAGTCGATAGGGCAGGAGCGGTATCATAGCTTGTGTCTTTGGTTGTGAGGTGGCACAGACTGCATAGGTGCTGGAGATATCTGCTGCTGGTCTTCCTGCTCACTTCTATCATTTCTTCAGTTCTTTGATGGGCTTTGTGTTGGGGCACTTGAAATAAGGAAACGGGCAGTCTTCTTATCAAAGGAATTCATGACGAGGAAAGGGGGATTCTTGGGAGAAAGGAGGATGAATAGGCTGTAACATGGTAATTTCAGGTTGGACTGGTAAAGAAACCTCTGCTCTCTATTGCTAACCTTGTAAGAGTTTAGTTTAGTAGTTTAGTTTAGTCAATTTAGCTTTTAACAGTTGTGATTAAATGTCTAGGTCTCGGGGTTGGGCTTCTTTAGATTACATTTTTCTTCCCTCTGGAAAAAGAGAAGGAACCACAATGATGGAGAGAGCAAAAATGAGAAAAATGAGAGCAAAACAAGACAGCTTCTTTTAGTTTTGAGAAGGGAAAAAAAAAAGAAAAAAAAAAAGCAACTTTTCAAGAGGCCAGAAAGAGGAGTTTCCTGCCAAGTCTTTCTGCTGTTTTACTCATTCCAGCTTCCCTGTCACACCCAAGCAGGGGTGCTCTGACAGCTGATACTAAGGGGCTGCTGCAGCAGCGGAGGGGCACGCAGGAAGCCCCTGCCTTCTGCCAAGTGTGTTTGTGTCACTTCAGCTACACCAAGGCATGGCTCCGGCAGCCTGAGTCTTTGGGCGCTTGCTCCCATATGGCTCGTGTGCTTGGTGCCCCGGGTATGTTCCCCAAGGGCTTGTCTTTATTGTTATTATTGTTATTATTGTTATTATTGTTATTATTGTTATTATTATTGTTATTATTGTTATTTAAAATATCCTTCAGCTCTCATTGGCGCCCGGAAACCGCCAGGGCACTGGCCTCAGTAAGACTTCAGCGCATGCGCCAGCTGAGAACCCACTCCCTTCCCCGCCCCCACCCGACCTTCTGTATGTACTGGCGCGCATGCGTACACTGTCTGCTGACACCTCGCTTCCGCCCTTCCCTGGGCAGAACTAGGCCTGCAGGGAGGCCACACGCCTGCGCTTCTCAGCTGTGTCCCGGAAGCGTTTCCCGGCGCTGCTTCCGGCCAGCTCAGCTCACTCCGCACCTCAACATGTCGGGCGCGGCGGGGTCGGGCGCGGGCGGCGCGGGGTCCGCGGGCTCGGTGGGCTCGGTGGTGCGGCGCTTCCTGGCCGAGTACGGCAGCGGCACGCCGAGTCGCCTCAAGGTGCTGGACGCCTACCTGCTCTACGTGCTGCTCACCGGCGCGCTGCAGTTCGGCTACTGCCTCGGCGTCGGCACCTTCCCCTTCAACTCCTTCCTCAGCGGCTTCATCTCCGCCGTCGGCAGCTTCATCCTCGGCGGTCAGTGCGGCCCCTGCGCTCGCCTCGGCCCCTGCGCGGTTTCCCCTGGCAGCCAGGGCGTCCCCTTGGTAGTGGTGGTTTGTGGGGGCAGGGCAAGGGGCAATGGCCACAAAGTGGAGTGCGGGAAGTTTTGCACCGATACGCGAAAGAACTTCTTCATGGTGAGGGTGACGGAGCGCTGGGACAGGCTGACAGGGAGGTTGTGGAACCTTCTCTGGAAGTATTCAAGGCCTGTCTGGACACCTACTTGGGCAGCCTGCTCTAGGGAACCTGCTTTGGCAGGGGGTTGGACCCGATGATCTCTTGAGGGCCTTTCCAACCCCTATATTTCTGTGATTCTGCTCACTCACCATGGTGATGCTTTAAGATCCCTCAGCAACCTGAGAGCCACAAGCAATGTGCCTAGCTTCCTGGAGCTCGGAGTTCTCTTTGAAATGGACAAATCTCTTTTATTGACTGTAGTAGCCCCTTAGAGATCCCCAAATGACCCCCGGCAGCCCAGGGAGCCTCTGCAGCAGCCCCTGAGCCTCTCCTGGCAGCTGTCGAGTCCTGGTACTTGGTATTTTTCTATCAATTATTCCTGGAAGTTGCTATAGCAAAAAAAAATAATGTTCTGAGCTATCTGAAAACTGCGGAGCTCCATGCTGCTTAGCAGCCATGGGTGTACCCTGTTGACGTTAAAGCACACAGCTCTGCTCTTGGCAACCTCCAGGCTTGTCCCCCTGCAGCTACTGCATCTTGAGAGCACCCTCAGCTGTGACCTCTCCCAGCGGGCCAGGCCTGATGCTGTGCATCACAAGAGGACGCTCTTCAGCAGATGATGAGCCTGCACGGATCTGCCCATGGGCACCACAAGTCCAGTTCCTCACCAGCCACAGGGTGTCCCTCGTTCTCCATGTTGATCAGGGAAGCATCCCTTTTACCATCTTGTATCACAGAATCATAGGATGGAGTGGGTTGGAAAGGACCTTTATGATCATCTAGTTTCACTCCCCCCTGCCATGGACAGGGATGTCACCCACTAGATGAGGTTGTCCAGGGCCTCTTCCAGTCTGACCTTGAACACCTCCAGGGATGGGGCATCCGCAACATTTCTGGGCAACCTGTTCCAGTGCCTCACCACCCTGAGTGAATTCTGAGTGAAGAATTTCATCCTTATCTAAATTTCTCCTCTTTTTGTTTAAAACCATTCCCTCCTTGTCCTATCCATATAAGCAAAAGGTTGTTCATAATTTTTATATAAGCCTCTTTTAAGTACTGAAAAGCTACAGTGAGATCTTCCCAGAGCCTTCTCTTCTGCAAGCTGAACATCTCCAACTCTCTCAGCCTTTAATCATAGGAGAGATGCTCCAATCCTCTGATCATCCTTATGGCCCTCCTCTGGACCTGCTCTAACAGATCCACATCCTTCTCATTTTCGGGGCCCCAAACCTAAATTCAGGATTCTAAGTGGGGCCTCGTGAGAGCAGAGTAGAAGGGGACGGTAACCTCCTTCGACCTGTTGGCTACTCCACTGATGCAGCCCAAGATGCAGTTGGCCTCTTGGGCTGCAGCACTGCTGGCTCATGGTGAGGTTTTTGTCCACCAGAATCCCCAAGTCCCTTTCTGCAGGGTTGCTTTCTTGTACTGATATTTTTCTGTAGCAACCATCCTATGGTGAACCAAAACCTAGCAATGACTGCTTAAAAATGTTGCTCTCCAATAATGCACCCTAAAAAGCACGTTTCTTCCCTGCAGCCCTGCCCAGTGTACCCAGTAGAGTGTTGCTTTCCCCATTTTTGTGCCTGTCCCATCCTGTTATAAGCCTGTTCCACTCAGGTCTCATTTGGACACCCCCTGTAGTGCTGTGTGAGAGCTGACTGCACATCAGCCCTATGCAAACCCCTGGCAGTGATCTTGTCTCATAAGAAAGATAGAATCAACTTTTCTTGTACGCTGGTGGAACAGTGACCTGTGGACTGCCCCAACAAGGCTATGCTTCCCACCATGGCTTCTCTTTGTGATCTCTGATCTCTCATTTTCTCTCTACTATGCAGTTTGCCTCCGGATCCAGATAAACCCGCAGAACAAAGGCGAGTTCCAAGGCATTTCTACAGAGAGGGCATTCGCCGACTTCCTCTTTGCCAACACTATCCTGCATCTTGTCGTTATTAATTTTGTTGGCTGAACTCTTGAAGAGACTGTAAGGTACTGATCCGTGGGGCCGCAGAAGGGGAAACACCAGCACATGATTTCTCTATTTTTGTAGAGTAGGGAAAAAATAGATAGTGAAACCAGAAGTCTACCTCCTGGCTTTTTCCAGGACAGGAACAGTTAAGCCATTTTTCTCTACAGTGCTATAGAGCAAGAATTTAGTGCCTTTTGATTTTGTGAATTTATTTTTTGTCTTTCCACATTTAAAAGGCAGCTTAGCTAGGTGTGCCACAGAAATCTACCCATATTTCTCTTTTATATGAGAAATACGCCTTTATTTCTTGAAGGAGGGTCTCTACGGGCTGGGACTTCTGGTATCTGTCCCTGATGGTTGTCTGTTTGGAGGCCATAGTATGGCTGGTGTGCAAGTCTGAAATTTCTCAGCAGATCAGAGAAAAATGTTCAGAATAGGGAGAGTTTGATGCTAGAAAGTGCACAGCATGTTCTATTATAGTTGCAAAGAGGCCACAAGCTGTTTGGAGCTTGTGGTGCATTTTCTGTCCCTTTGCAGATGCATTCTTCATGTTGTCTTTCTCTCTTTACAGGTCTCGAATTCCTCTGGGGTTCTGATGTTAAAACCTGTCATGGGGAAGTGTTGTTCCCCATCAGACTTGTAACTGCTTCCATGGTGAGGAAGGGGAAGCAGGGAGTAAAGTTTTTGCTACAGACTGTCCTATGGAAGGGTCTACTGCCTCATTTCAGTTGCTGTAATCGTTTATTTCAATAAAGCCCTTCATAGTACTGCACACTTTTCCTTGCTGAAGACAAATACAGAGTTTCTTCCTATGCCCAAGTTCCCTCAGTCATGGCTTCCTGTTTTTCCCTCCTTCTCTCTCTCTCCATTTCTCCCTCTCTACCCCCTAGGCTTTTATTTTGTGCCCCAGTTTCTGGGGGAAACTGGAAGCAAGTTGTCACGGAAACACAGATGTCATCTGCCCTTTATCTTATGGAAAGTATGTTGCCAACACAACTCCAGGCTTCAAAGCTGCAGAAAACTTTGTTTAGACTGTGGTTAGAGATGAACGGAAGGAAGCTGGGGGTGTCATTCAGCCATCCCCACCTGTATCCATTTTGGCAACCCTGCCCAGTGCATGGGGGTTTAAACTAGATGATCTTTAAGGTCCTTTTCAACCCAGGCCATTCTGTGATTCCCATGGGCCCTCCCATATCCCTCGGCATCACATGGGGCACAGCTTGATGCACCAACTGGGCTTACAGGCTCACTATGGCTTGGTAGTAATACAACCACCCTAAGACAAAGTTAGTTTTTCTGCAACCTGAATTGCTGATAAACCCAAGGATGCTGGAAGGGGCTGCTAGGCTGTGTCAGTGTCTGGGACAGAGCTGCACCTGAGCTGTCCTAGCTCAATGGAGAAGGTTTTCCTCAGATTGAATCTTGAAATTCTTTTCTCTTTTGAGGTATTGTGAAATGTTTAATCTCAATGACCCCAGCCCTCGAGCATTGCCTTCTCAAGCCTCAGCTAGCATCTGGTTGAAGCCGATTGCTTTTTAGTTGTGATGGAAATTAGATCCCTGTGATGATCAAGTTATAGGCACAGGGTAGGATGTTAGCTCTAGCTATTCCTTCCTGATCGTTGGATGAAGAATTAACCCGGGTTACCTTCAAGCTTGAGGCTCTGTCATTTTACTGATCCTGCCCCATGCTTGTCTTGTCTGGTCAGCAGCTGAAACAGTAGCAAAAACACATACAAGATGATGTTACAAAGGAATGCTTGACTGCTGGCATCCAGGAGTTAAAACATGGGGTTCAATAGCTTCAACATCTCAGCACTGGATTATGGCACCTGTTTACCACCTTTTTTCCATCTAGTATTTCCAGCTGTGCTGCAGCCATTAAAACAGTAGAAGTGTGATGTACGGGCCTCCAAATAGTCCTGAGTAGTCAGGTATGAGGAAGCAGGGTCTTTACTGTCTTGAAGGGTGTTGTCTGGGTCTGTGGTGGGAACAATTCATGCCAGCTCTGACCCACAGCCCCCCAGGCATTAGGCTGGGCTTATTTATGGTGATGATACCAACTATGTTCTGATGTTAGGGTGATGGGGATCACAGAATACTCGAAAGCATGTGGGAATTGTAAATGAGCTACTGGGCTCTTTTTCCTGTAAGAGCCCTCTCTGAAACAGGCTCGTGGCAGACAGAGCCAACGAGTTCACAGAAGGAGGAACGCGCGCAGGGAACGTACTGGAGCAGCTGCTGCTGTTCGCAAGGCACGAGTGCCTCCCTGTGGGGTCTCTGCAGTGGTCTACCCATGCTTTGGCTTCAGGGAGAGCTTGAGGCTGGGGCCCTCCTGTGGCCAGTACATGGTGGTGTAAAGAGAGAAACCTTCTGTGGGGTTTCTTTCTTTTTTTTTTCTCTGAGTTTTAGTGGTTTTCAGTGCCTCTAGTTACCATAAACTAGCCCAAGATTTCAAGTTCTATTAGAGGTACTTCCATGCCTGAATGAGCTTCAACAAATCTGTATGTGTCTTCAAACTCTGCTCCTTAGAAAGATGATACCAGAGGTCCTTGTGGACTATGTAGAAAAGGGCAAGAAAGAAAGTTGCTTCTTATATAGGGCTATGTTTAGTGAGGGATGAGAAGCACAGGGCAGGGTGTTTTCTCCAACAAGATCCCAAGAAAAGATACAAATTCATGTCCTACCCATCAGTAGATAGTAGGGGGCAGCAGCTGGCACAGAGGAGGAGGGCGTAGGTGGACCATGGCACCATCTTCTCTGACAATATGAGAAGATTCTGGCCTCTGCCATGTTCCGCCTTTGTCTTTTGGGTCAGAAGTGGAAGGATTTTCGTGCATTGAGTCACTGCCTGTATAAGAGGGTGCAGAGATGTATCATATCAGCACATTCTGAAATCTTACATGCTTGTAAGATCTTTCCCTGCTGCTGCCTTCCCTCCTCCCCTCTCCCCTCCCCCCCCCCCCCCAATTATTTATTTTCTCCCCTTCCTGTGCTCTGCATAGCTCAGTCTTTCCTGTTGTACCCAGAACTCCCTCCACACACCCAAGATAAGGTTACAGTGAGGGGGCAGGAAGGGAGGGTGTCTTAACCTCATTCTACTTTGGTTTGTGGTCTAACGTCTGCTGTCCTATTTCACATGCTTCTCCTCCCTGCCACGTGCCACACTAGCATTGCCCCCCCTGCACCCAACCCCTGTTTTGCACTCTACTTTACAGAGGAAGAGGTTTCTGCGGTAAGGTGTAGGGGAGTATCAAAAGGTGACCCAGATCTCAGCACTGGCGTCATGGAACTAGTGGTTTGTCCTTTCCTGCCCCAAATGGGCCATGAGACCCCCTCTTCCACATCCTGTTACTTACCGTGTTATTTCCTGCTTTTGCTTTGCACTGTGGTTTTTCTTTCTTGAAATAAACAAGAAACCACACGGGAGAAAGGGTGTAAGCATCAGTGGTGGGAGAGGATCAAAACCCTAATCTCAGAGAGCATCTTTGAACGAGACCTACAAATTCAGTGCTTTGGAGATCACATGTTAAGGGTCACTTCAGTCAAAACACAGCTTTAGCTATATGCTCATCCCCTCACCTTACAGCTAGGAAAGGGTTTGAAATGCAATGCAAAAGATTTGAGACAAATATTAATATTTTTTAAAGTGATGTTAAAGGTAAAGGAGTGTGGAGAATTTATTTTCCACATCGCTAAAGGTTTTAGAATGAGGTTAGTCAATTGGAAATGTGTGAACATGGTACTGGTCTTGCTCTGTAATTCAAAAATGGTTTAGGCAGCTTCATTGAGTGCTGTTTCTCTGTGATGCAGCAGCTTTCATCATAAGCAAAATGCAATGTTGAAGGCATGGCTGGGATTTAAATAGCTGTAGGCTTTTTACAGCTGGTTAAAAATGAGAATGACTGTTCTGTGAAGGAGTCAAACAAATGAGTCCCTGAACATCTCTTCTATAAGATAATCAGAGTTTTAGACCTGCAATATTGGAAGTTGTTCCTGGACAGGAGAGGTCAGTAATGGTCACCCAGCAACAGGCCGTCTACAAAGTGGTCAGGTGGCAGCACCACAGCAGGAGCTCAAGGAGACTTTGTTTTGCTGCTGCTCGGAACTGTGGATTCAGATACCATGGCAGGGGTGCTGGCACCATCTGCACAGAGAGGCCCTTAACATATGAAGCACCAGGACTTTTGACTAAATGCATTTAAGTATGAACCTTCCCAAAATCAGAGGTCCTTGTAATGGCTGTGAATCCACTGAGGTGAGAAATATTCTGAGAGAGAATCATGCCACCCAGCATAGCAAGGCTTTTCCCTGCCACTTAGTTTGGGCTTAGTGTGAGGTACAATCAAAGCTCAAGATTTGCAGGGAGGTTATGTTTCCTTCCAAGCACCTTTCTTGTCTCTTTCTCCAGAGGAATCTTTGCTGCTTTAGAATATGGAGAGACCGTTGTCACAGGAGAACAGTCTTTCCAGTCTTGACTTTGAGAGCCCGAATTTGGAGACTCAGACCAATGTCAGTAATGTCATTAATGCAAAGCAGATACCTTGTTCTACCATGAAACTTGAGAACAGAGGACATTTAGGGGCAGGATATTACAGACTGCTGTGCTTCCCGTAGGAGTAGACAACTGCCTTCAGGAACCTGGTCCACTTCCTAGTCCTCTCACTGTTGGAAAGCTGTATTTCACCATTGTCTTCACATAGCACAGTGCCTAGGTTTGGAGGGGATGTGCACGCTTCTGTTCCCCCACACACACCTCTAAGCCAGCCATGATATTCTCCTCCAACACAGCAGGGAAGTGGATGTCCTGAAAAGGGAGGTTGTAGATGCTCCTCCGGAGTGGATCAAGCCCATTATTGCAAGCAGTCCCTGGGGGCTAAGCTGTGTTCTGCTCTTCCTGGCACCCCTTCCCTCCTTCACCCCAAAGGCCATCTCTGATCCTAAAACTCATCTGAAGGGCAAAACAAATTCCTCCAACAAGAGATACAAAAGACAAACAAGTTTCTTATTATTGGTAATGATTATTTAATAGCATCCAAAGGCCATGTGGACTTTAAAAAAATGGCAAAAAGCATTCTTCTGTGATAGAGAAGCAAGAATTTTACTAATTTAAGGACTTCTGGGAGACCTAGCAGCATTTTTTTTTCTTTTGGGGGGGATGGGGTGGGGTTAGAGGGAGGAACACCTTGCTCGGACAGCAAAAGTCAGAAAAGAAATGGTGCATAGCACCCTGCTCGGACAGCAAAAGTCAGAAAAGAAATGGTGCATAGCACCCTGACTAAGACTCCCTTTGCCATTTCAGTTGCAAATGAATACTCTGAGAAGCAATCTGCTCTTCAGCCAAAAAAAAAATAAAAGAAAGTCATCGTCATGCTAAATGAATCAGATCTGTGGGAGAGCACAATGCTGAGAATTGTAAGCATATCTCTGCGCAGCTTTTAAAAATGCAAATAAAGCAATTTAGACTATAATGACTTTTTTGATGTACAGAAAACACAATGTGATATCTGTTGCAACAGGAACGCTGGCCTGTGTTCCCTCTTGCACCCGATGCTCCTGTAAAGATTCTCAGCAGATTTTTTTGGTACTTATGTCTTCACTGGTTACATTCATTCCTGTAAAAAAAAATAAAGGTATATTAAATTTGGGGTACAGTCACAACTACATAATTGTAGATCTGAAGCAACATATTAGGTCTTAAAGTCAATGACCATCAAACTTTCACTGCTGGAGAATGGTCAGGTGATGAATCTGATGGATGAGTGCAGACAAGGGAAGAAAAGGTTGTAGGAACAGGAGAGAGAGATGTCTAGAAAGAAGACAAAAGTTAAATTTGTGTGTGGATAAGGAAGGGTAAATAGACTCATGTAGTGGAGAAAACAATGATAGGTCCAAGTAATGACTTGTAAAGAATTGGAGGGATTTTACTGGTGATAGATAAAAGGTGTATGAACAGAATATGTAAAATACAGAGGGAACATTCATAGCTAATGAACTGATACAGGTATTTTCTGTCAGAGGTCTTACCACCTCCCTTGCATACTCACTTTTTTCTTCCACATAAGGATTGTCATCACCACATTAAAAATTACTCCTTTCATTAAAATTATTTTCAGGCCCAGCTGTGTGAAAGACAGCATGTTCAGGTTTTCATCTGTAAAACCAGGAATGAGAGTCAAAAGAGCACTGGGACATCCTGACTTCCAGACAGACATGAAAATACTTCTTAATGAAGCTGTTCTACTTTGCATGATTGAGTTAGCTTATAGGACACCTAATGAGACAGTGAGCAGGACTACCTCACTGACAGACTGTTTCAAGGGCCAGGCTTTCATTCAGCAAACATTAATTCTCCAGTAAGGAAGACTGCTAACCATCTAGTTGTTTTTAAATAACAGCGTATTATGAACCACAGATGCAGGAAGAGTTCCTCCTTCCTCTCCCAATTTTCTAAGAGGGCAGTAGGAAAACAAGTTAAATTTTATCCATAGAAAAAAAGAGTCTATCTGAATGTTCTGTTATTCATAGTTACAAAGTCATTTTCATCCGAAAAAAAAATAAAATTGTTCTATATTGGAAAAGCAAGGAGTTATTATCAAAAAGTCATTTGAAAACCTCTCTGAAAAACTTGTCAAATCAGCCAAGTTTACTGATGAGTATTTTTCTGAAGTAGTGTTTTGGAAACATTCGGCTAACTGTTTTTTGGTGGTTTTTTATTATTTTTTTTTTCCTCTCGTTTTGTTTTTCCTCTCCCTCTCTTTCAGCAAGGCTGCATATTTGCAAAAGTACAGCTATTCTGCAAACAAGGCTAGAGCAGAGCAGAGGCAGGCTCAGGTCCTTTGAACTAGCACAAACAGCAATTGCTTGGGCTCCAGTGCAGCGTAGCATACTCCCATAGCCACAAGCTGAAGCAGAGCCTGCTCAGTGCACGCATACTGCAGAAACCACTTGCTTATCTTTTGGCTCATTAGGCGTTTGCACACCCAAAAATACAAACAGCTCTTTTGAAATCTGAAATGCAGCAGACTTTCAGTGAAGCTGATGTATCTGTGCCTTAAACCATTATAGGGTGAGCAGTGTCTGTTTGGCAACACCTTGCAAGACCATGTAGGTGCCAGCTACAGAGGTCACTTTAAATTACCAATTCAGATCTGGAGGTCTACATCAACCCAACGACTTCCAGCCTTTGTATTTAAATCCTGTGTAGCCCTTTAGAAAATTCCCAGTGTTTGATTTTTGATCCAACAGGAATTCTGAAAACAGGGAACATTCAAAAAAAAAAAAAAGAGGGGGGGGGAAGGAGGAAGACAGTTCCTTTAATTAAATTTTACTCCTAAAATATTGTGTTCATACCTGTCTTGAAGTGTGGTGACATCCCTGTTACACAGACAGTGCTGGCACCTGCAAATAGTAACAATATATTTAATTAATAACAGGAATTGACTTCAGAAGTTCATAAAGATGTCTCTACTTAGAAGAACTGAATTATAGTTTCTAGCCTTTAAACCATCCAATAAATATTAATGTCTGCTATTTTCAGGGTTAGCATTTAATATGATCTAAAGTTTAGTGTCCCACCAGACAAAAGAATTTCAAGCTTTATATCCCCCATGGCATGATTTTGAAATCTCTCTGTTGTGACTGTACCAGCCTACTGAGCTTTAATCTTGTTTCTACCAAGAAGGCAAAAGAAAAGAGATGCAACAAGACAAGATTCCTCTAGAGCATGGGAGCATAGTTCAGTACTGCTTGCAGGGTTGGGAGATGTGAACAAGCCCTGTTCATACTGGAGAGACAGAGACCAGATTGCCTCTAACCCTGAATGCACATCCAACAGTGACATTACCGCTTTCAGGATCCTTTCCTTCTAATTTTCCAGCGTTCTCATCCTCTGCACCACACTCCATTTTATCTTTCTTGGCCCAGTAGGTTGTCAGGTAGCTTGCTTCCTGTTTATTCTCAGATGTTTCCACCTCCACAACAGCTTCAGTCTTACTATCAGCTGAGTCTGATTTAACATTAAGGTTTTTAGGGGCATAATCTGTGATAAGGCACATTTCCAAATTCTCATCATCTTTAGTGGTCAGCCTGTAGACCGAAGGAGATGGAACAACCTCTGAAAGTGGAGAATAGAAGAGACATTAGGTGAGATTACACAGTCTTAGTTCCTTGAATCTTGATGTACAGACATAAGTATGGAGGTCACTACATGATTCCATTGGGAGATTGATCATAAGGACCTTGCGCTAGGACATCTATAGAAAATGAAGGCATCCGTAGTAGGTAATGCAGGAGCTACATGAGACTTATGCTGTCTGAGAGCCACAGATGGGGAGTCAGACAGGATTTTTAGAGCATCTCAAATGATACTCATGTGGCCACCCACAGCCTAGATGTTGATATCTAACCTAGGCATTCCTCTCTGTAACAGCTTGTTCAACTCTACTCTGCAGCCTGGGATTCCTTTAGGGTCTTGGCCTGAATGCACTGGGGGATGTGTTCTGGGAACGGGCAGAGAGCACTCTCTCTCTTATTGCTTCACTGCTATGAGAAGTTATGTGTCTGGGGAGGAGTAATCATAATAATAAAATGTTAATAGTATTGCAGTACTCTAGTGATGAACAAGTAAAACATCATTAAAGAGATACTGTAGCCAACATGTAAATATGGGTCTCTCAGTAGCCCTCTGAATGCATTTTCTGTTGGACTCTATGACCACAAGTTTGAACCTGAGCTTCATACCACATCTGTAACTGAGAAAGGGTTACTGGGTAAGGTTCAGAGTTTAGATTAACATTTGCTTAGTCCCTGCTCTCACACCACACTGTTAAGTATTGTAGAAATAGCAAAGATAGATTAGTCCCACATGAAGAAGTTTTAATTTCTTCCCTCTGGGGAAATGTAGACTAAAATCTTGGCTTTTAGAAACCACCTCAAAATCTTATCCAAGCACAGGCTCTTGTTCCACCGAGAGAAACTGTTCTGATCTGTTCAACTGCCAGCTGGCAGCATCTTAAAGAAATGTCTGTACTTTATTAATACCACCTCAGAAAAACCTTATCCACAAAGCCCAGTGGTATTTTTCTCTGAGTCTTCTCCTGAATTGCAGTTCATCTGTACGGGCTTTGTCCAGGCTTTGAAAAACCCAATGAGACTGTCTCTTTCCCAGCAGTGCAGAATATTGTCTAGTGTATACTCTGACTTCCCCAGCTCAACTCACCTGCCCCAATAATCCCCATGCAATACAGTTATTCTTCTGAAAATAAATTTCAGTGCAGAGTCAGATAAAAAGCTGTATGGGAGACTCCTGTTTAAAATAATAATAATAACAATACAGATGAACCAGGATATATCATTACCATGGAGTACAGGGATACAAAAGAAAAGAGGAACTGATAGATGTTCTCCCTCATAGTGAGTGCTCTGCTTTCTGAAGAGCTACTTATGCACCACTCTCCAAATTAGTGTTGTTGGTTTTTGTTTGTTTGTTTGTTTTTTCTCACTATCTCTGTTATGCTTTTATCTTGAGCAGATTATGAAAAGCACGTCTGTTTCTGCTGGCAGCTTCAGCACCAACTTTGCAAAATGCTCATTTCTCATTCTTGCTCAGAGAGGTTGCTCACTTTGTTCCGTAACTGGAGGCTTTTTCCCAATACATTCCTTTGCATATTTGCTCACCGTTATGAAAGTCTGCAGATAGCAGTCTTGGTAAATATAAGCTATTATAACCGCAGCACTGTGATATGTTTCATGTCATTGTCTTAATGTGTTGGTGGATATGTTGGAAACGTTGTATTGATGTCTATTACCTTTATTTGCAGAAAATATTGAGAATGATGATATTCTGAGCTGTCCACCCTGCCTAATTTCATCCTTACTGAAGGATATCTTCTGTGTGGAAGAACAGGAGCTATCTGAGTACTATTCCCGCCCAGTCTACTCAGATAGCCAACTCCAGAAATCGGGAGATTTCAGGGAGAGAGCAGTAGAAGACTGTTCCAACGTAGGTCTTCAGACGAAGACCTATGCCTCTTTTTCCAAACAGGATGCATTAGAAATCCTGAACTGGTTTAACACGCTATTGTGTATAGAGAATTATCTAATTACCCATTCCCTTGCAGACTCTCTCAATTGCTGATCAGACTGGAATTAATTTGACAGAGAGTCTTTGATCATTTAAAGCTCACAAGTGAATGCAATGGCTTATCCCATCTGTGTAATAATTGTCTTTGAAAACATGAAGACTTGAAGAGGCTGCTCATTAACTTCCTGAGAGCCTCTGTCATTTTCACCATATACTTTTCAGGCCTTTTCTTTCAAAGCCAGCATGAATTTTAACTGTTGGAAATTGTTTTCAATTTTATATTCTAGAGTAGTTTCTGGAAGAAAAAATCAAATGTCAAGTCCAAACAAGTACATTATTGAATTAGAGAATAACTATACATGTAGTATCAGGAAAAAAAAAAAAAAAAAAAAAAAAAAAGATTTGTTTAGTAAGTAAGAAAATCAGCCAAAAATCCCTGCCTAAACACAGGTAGAAGATAATTTTTTATGTTGTTACCAGAGAGTCAGAAGAATTTTCAATCTTATATTTGTGGATGCCTCATATACAGATGTGTATTTCACACCTAAATAATAACCTTCCCTAATCACTCTATTTAATCACTCTATTTAATTCACTTTTAATCAGATAACTTATTTGGGATCACAGATAGATAGCTTTGTGCCATTTCCAAAAATTACTCTCCTAGCTCTGATATCCCAGACACTGAGTTCAAATCATTAAAATAACATAGTGTAAGTCACCTGGGAAATTTACTCCTGATGCAATGTGAAACTATGATTTCAACATGAAACCAGGGGTGTCTGAATTTTTCCCTTCAATCTAAGGAAAAAATGTAGACCGGTTTCTGTGTAACAATGTTAGCCCTGTCAGGCTAATACTTTCCTTTTCATATTTACTGCATAAACCTTCAAACTGTCTTACAAGACTCCAAAGTTAAGGTCAATGATATGCTGATGACACTAGCCTAAGAAATTGATGATGCTCTCGTCTGCAGTATTCCCAGGCTCCTACTCTGTCTTGCCTAGCAAGCTGAGAAATAATCCTGGTTTCATTTTCTTTCAGCCTTCTCTAGTCCCTTTCCTCTTCATCTAGAGGCTATGTTCATCCTCCAAAACGACTCCATAATATCTTTCCATAATAGATCTATTTAGAAACACAAACTGGTAGTCACTGCTTCCATCTTCATAGCCTGTCCTCCAGATGTTACTCACCTGAGCTGATTTGTAATCTAGTCCCTCTTCTAAAGACAAACATACTGTATCTTTCAGTTTTCCACTCAATATTAACCCTTCGCAATAAATTCTTGCCTACCAGGTGCATATTTCAATGGCTGCTCATCCAAAATATGTGAGAAAACTTTCTACTAGAAGATGACGCACAAAGTTAGATGAAACTTCATTATGTATTCTCAGGTTTCTAAAGCATTTTGAAATGTTACTGAGAAAAGGACGAAGACTTACAAAGCATCACAAGAAGTTCAGTCCCTTTTCTAATAACTGACTTCACACTGCAGTATCAGTTTATATCAATATGGAAGGGACTTCACTTTTGCATTTTAAAACTAACAAATATTGACATAAGCTGAGTTAGAAAATCCAATTTTTAGGCCACTAATCAGAATAACCCCCAGACACCATATAATTATTATTTTAAAGATGCACAAATCAAGTCTGAAATTAGTAGCCAGAAAGTCTGTAAATGTGTTAAACTTCTTGTGCAGCATTTGGCAGCATGTAAAATGTGTTGCAGCTCTCTATGCATGACTGCACTATGCTGTGACTACTAAGCCTGTGTAAAATCTTCAGCAACAGAAAACCATAGAAAATATGACAGTCTTCTCTAGCTGGTCTTTTCTGCAGCAGTTCACAGCCACACCATACTCAAGCAATCCTTGGATTCCAAGGCAGCACCTCTATTCCAACTGATTTTCATCAGGGGAAGTCTAAAATAATTTGGGAACGTGCTTCCATGTAATCCTTAGTCCACCTACCCTAAAAGTAATTACCAATCCCAGTGTTAATATGATACAGAAAGCTGAAACTTACTTGGGATAACAAGAAGTTGGCTGCCAGCTCCAAATGCCAGTTTCACATATCCCTGATTGGCACACTGATGCCAATCACTACAAAAATGTAGACAGACTTTCCCAACTCATACTGCCAATCAGATCATACAGCCATTCTAGAGCAGAGAATAACTTGAGGGAGCAGTAGCTAAGCACATTGATTTAAGTCACTCTAAAAGTACCACAGAAATCTAAAACAAAATAATCAGGAACAGAGGGATAAAGTGAAAAATCACTCATTCATTGGTTAGAATTGTTTATTGCACTTTGTGGGACAATAGTAGAATAATATGCTTTTTTTCCATCAGTAATATCACCTAAAATCCCTGTTCAGTGTGCCATGTAATTAGGACCATCTCCTGTCAGTCCAATGTTTCTCCTTAATATTTCACTGTTTGTTACCCACTTGGTTTGATCATCAGCAAGGTTCCTTTCCTAATGTCAGCTTGTATCCTTCTTCACCCCCGTAATTTACAGGAATTATCTTTTATTTATCCAGGAAAACTTTACAAGAAATCCTTTGACTGTACTCATAGTTATCTTCTCCCTGGAATTAACAGCACACTGAGATCCTATCCAGATCTTAGAACCTCACAGCGAAAAAAGTATCTGAGCCTTCTAAATCTTACCAGATCAGGATTCATACACCCTCACTTAGTAAGATAAGTAATAGCAGAAGTAAGGATTAAGTATGGACTTGTAGCTGTTACAACTTGATAAATCTGGATTCAAGTCCCAGTCATGTACACTTGCAGAATGTGTGGATAACACCATATCTTTATATCACAGTAACCAGCTAAAAGACAGCTCAGTTCCCATTCCAACACTAATATTTAAAAATGTTATGAGTATATTGTTCCTTGATGGGATTCTGCTAAAAGTAAAGACCAGATAAAATGGTGATAGTCACAATAAGTAGGTATTTTCTAAGTATTATAGCCATTCTTCTATTTCAACACTTGTACACCAGACACATAATCCATGA